GGGTGCAGAAAATCAACATATGAACAAAAGAGGCGGCCGCAAGATGGATGGCCTCAAGCGCTGCCAAGTGGCGCTGTGGTGCGGGGTCGTGCTGGTGCTTGTTGTGGCTGCCTCTGCCTCGCAGGATTACACCTTCGACGAAGAATTTCTGGTGCGCCCTCTCAAAGATGGTCGAGTGTTGGTGCACTGGCAGTTCGTCACACGATGGCACCCCGAAGCTGGCCAAATCGCAGGTTTGTACAACGAGCCCTTCATCAATCCGTTCATTCATTCTTTCATCTCAAATCTCGCTTCGTTACGCGCTGCAGACCGAGCAAAGCATTTCGGTCTGTTCCCCAAGACGCTCGGTCAGATCGTCCAGAGGTTTTCTGTGCAGGAGCTTCATCTTTCGCTCACTCAGGTACAAAGCGGCGCTTCTTCATCCATGGCGACCAACAAGACCGACCTCCTGCTTGTGCTGTCCACTAGGGTCGCTGGGACTACGCCCAATGGGGTCGGCCATTGCTGCCCGCGCCAGTGGGCGCTGAGCTGTGGTCCTGGCTTCAGCCTTCTGCTGAACGAGAGTATGTCCTCTCTTGTGGTGTGCGTGTGTGCGTGTGTGCGTGTGTGCGTGTGTGCGTGTGTGCGTGTGTGCGTGTGTGCGTGTGTGCGTGTGTGCGTGTGTGCGTGTGTGCGTGTGTGCGTGTGTGCGTGTGTGCGTGTGTGCGTGTGTGCGTGTGTGCGTGTGTGCGTGTGTGCGTGTGTGCGTGTGTGCGTGTGTGTGTGCATGTGTGTGTGTTGTTGTTGTTGTTGTTGTTGTGTGCTCACATCGGTTGCTAGTGTGGGAGAGCAGTGGAAAGGCCTCACGCACGCCCTATCGGGACTCATGTGCGGTTCTCTCAACCTGATCGACACCAAGAGCACTTGCCAGCCCAACGCCTTCTTCCGTCCCTCTTCTCCCGCCACCGCCGACCAAGGCACGTTCACCCCTCCCTCCTTCACCACAGCTGTAGTGACGTGCATGTGCCTCATCATCGACCTGCACGACCAGCCTCTCTGCGGTACGGCGCCCTCCCGCGCGAAGCCGTGTGCACAGAAAACCTCACGCCCTGGACGAAGCTACTGCCCTGCCGCCTGAAGGTACACCACAAGGCGCCTCTTCGAGTCTCTTTCGTCCGAACTAACCGTCGCCCGCGCGCGCAGGCCGGCCTTGGCTCGCTCATCAATCCCGTCCAGCTGGCCGACAGTCGCTTCCGTTCGCTGACACTTAACGTGCTGGTGCGTACCGAAGCCGCGATGCCCGGACACACCGGGGTGAAAGTGAGGGGCAGCGCGGCCACTAGTGAGCCGTACTCACAATGCTCTTGCTCTCTGTTCTCTGTTCGCGTGACACCAGGTCAATGGCACCGACATGGAGCTTGTGCAAACGCTGAGCGTTGTGCTCGCCCCCAACTCACCAGGATCTAGCGATCGTGCGTCACGCCTTCCGCCTTCTTCGTCTTCTTCTTCTTCTACTGCACGGCACCGCTATCGCTCATACATGGCACCGCACGGCTGTTTCGTTGGCCTTTTCTGGGACAGAGCTCGACCTCCAATCGGTGCTGGGCTCAACGCTGCAGTCATCGTGCCCACTGGCCGGGAGCAGCGCTTTCTACGTCGACACCTCGCTGTTGCCGGCGTCGTCCGACGAGTCCGCACCCTCGCCAACGCGCGGCAGCGTGACACGCCACAACGCCAGCGTGCTGGCCGACACCTTCCACCTCCAGGTGCGCGATTCCCCCGCTGCTGTGCCTTTTTCTTGTGTTTCGCTCGAGCGCCTGCGCTGAGCCCACATCGCGCCACAGACCGGAGGGAGGAGCCTGCAGGAGGCGGGGAGCGAGCGTGCTTGGCCCGAGGACAAGCTGCACGTCCACAGGTTCGTGCCCCCCCCCCCTCTTCAACACACACACGCGCGCGCGCCATCGATTTGTCGTCGCTTGCTAGATCCCTCCGAAACACAATAGATATACGACGGGCCACGGACAACAGGAAGGCGGCCTAAGCATCGAGCTGCACAACGGCAACGACGTGCCGCTCACAGCCAACGTCCTGCAGGTGGTGCCGGCCTACGTCAGGTACCTGGCCTTTGCCCCTTTCTTGGTCGTGTGCCGCCTTCACCGCCATTTGGCGCTCACACGTGCGATCGATCGCACGTCTGTGCCACCGCGCAGGCTCTACTTCCACACGCTGTCGATTCTTCTCAACGACACCGAGCTGAACGCAGCCGAACGACCCAAAGGTGCGCTAGCCCACACGACCGCCACCTGTACCACTCTGGATTTAATATCATAAATACAATTGGATTGTGCAGTGCTCACGCATCAGTGGGTGCGGCCGGCCGAGGACCGAGCAGAGCCGGCCCACATGGAGCTCTCGCTCACCCTTCCGCCGCACTCCAAGATCGGGTAACCTACACACGCCTTCAACCGTTCCAAAACAACCATTTCGCTCACCTTCGGTTCGAAGCTAATCGAATCGAATACAACAACACAACAATCTGTTGACCGCACCAGGATAACGCTGCAGTTCGAGAAGGTGTTCCTCCACTTCGCCGAGTATCCGCCCGATCCCCACAGGGGCATGCACATCCCCGCCGCCCTCGTGGCCTACACCCTGGGCGACGCGTACGTTCACCACCACCACCACCACCACCACTTCTTCTTCTTCTTCTTCCCCCTCTTTTCTTTCTGCCTCACCACCCCACGATTTGCGGCAGTGGCGAGGCCTGGCGCAAGGGCTGGCCCTTCACCAGCGCCTCGGTCGCCGACTGGCTCCAGCCTCGCAACTACGCGCACCGCTACAGCGAAGTCGTTGTCGTCAACTTGCCTACACCCGGTACTGTGTGTGTGTGTGTTGTGTGTGCGCGCTGCGTGCGTGTGTGTGTGTTGTGTGTGTGTCGCGTCTTATGCGTGTCGTGTTGCAGACTTCAGCATGCCCTACAACGTGATGACGCTCACGGGCGCGGTCATGGCGCTCCTGTTCGCGTCCATCTTCAAGCTCCTCACCGGCCCGCCCAAGTCCTCCAAACCGCCAGCCCCCTCCTGGTGGCAGTCCCTCCTCGCCAGGCTCCGGAAGACCAAGCAGGCCTAGTCGTCGCCGTACTCCCCTCACTCATCTCACCCCCCACCTATTTATTCGTTTTGAGAGAATGTACATTCGCTGCTTGCCACACATACATCGCACACGCGTGTGCTTGTGTGCGTGTGTGTGTGTGTGTGTGTGTGTGTGTGGTGTCAAGCGGCGTAGAGCTGGAGGTCGTGGAGGTGCGGCGACCGGAGGTGGACCGAGGCGCCGTCGTAGCGCGGCAGCATGACGTTGGTGTGCGGGAAGTTGTGCTTGTGGAACCAGAAGGTGGCCTGCCACCCGCGGTACCACACGACGAACAGGCCGAGCAGCATCTGCACCCGGCGCGACGTCCCATCATCATCAGCTTCCCCCTGGGCGTGGGCGTGGGCGTGGTCGAACAGGGTCACCTCGAACGCCGTGTGGGCCAGGAACATGGCGGCGTTGTGGATGAAGAGGCAGCGGACCAGGGTCAGCAGCCCCGCGCCGTGGTCGACCAGCTTGGCCCGACTCTCGCTCACGGCGTCGGCGAACGGCGTGCGCTCCTCGTCGTCGTCTGGCTCATTGATGTGGTGCTGGTGATGAAGATGATGATGATGGTTGAAAGTGGAAGTGGTGGTAAGGTTCATGTGGGCGGCGTAGGAGGTGCAGATGGAGTTGAGGAAGACGCAGGCGATGGTGACGCTCAGGATGTCGTAGTCGGCGTCGGCGGGGCGCGACCAGGCCAGTGTCCAGGCGAGGTCGGCGACGGCGGCCAGCGTGCAGAGCCACATGAGGACCTCCTGCATGTGCAGGCCGGCGTTGTGGTAGACGCGCATGGCCTGCGTCCACGGCGAGGCCAACATGCTGCGGCCCAGCCACAGGAACAAGCAGCAGCACAAGAACTGCAGCCCTGGCCGGTTGTGATCGTAAGGTCGTGCTAGGAAAAATAGAAGAAAATAAAATAAAAATAATAATAAAAAAGAGTACCGTAGTGGAGATGGTAGACGGTGGTGACCGAAGGTGGGCACCGAAGTAGGGAACGCCGAAGTAGGTGGCGTCGATGCACCAGTTGAGGGCGCTGTCACCACGCACGATGTGGCAGTCGAGGAAGGTCACCACAAAGAGAATGGCCGAGCCCAGCATCGCCAGCAGCAAAACCAGAAAAGCTAACCGGCACCACATCCTGGCGTGAGTGAAGAGAAGAACACAACTCGCTATCTTGTTGTTAGCCCACTTTGTGGTGTTGGTTGTTGTTCATCAGATCGGAGTTAAAATAACGAGTTGATTGTTTTTTCTTTCCCTGACAATTTCCTGGGCCGAATGCAGCTTCTGCGCCTTCTTCTGCTTCTTCTTCAGCTGGCCAGCTTCAGTTTGGGCACCACTGCACCGCCGGGGTCAGATGCGGCACAACACGCAACACACACGACGCACACACGACACACCACGACACACACGGCACACGCACCCGACCGCCGCTTGTTGTTGGTCTGGGTGCCGAGGTCCTCCTTGGGCCAGTAGGTCTTGTTCTCGAGCAGGGCTTGGATGAGGGCGAACTCCTTCTCGAGCCGCCGGACCTCCACGCCCAGATCCAGCAGCTGCACCGCTGTCTCCTGGTCTCCGCGGGGCCTGGTCAGCGGCACCTCGCGCGCGATCTTCGTTTCAATCGACACCGTCGCCTCGCCTGCGTTCCTCCCCTTTAGTGCGTGCGGCGCGGTGCGTGCGGTCTTGCGTGTGCGGTGCGTGCGGTGGCGTGTGGAGTGTGCGGACCTAGGGCTTCGGACACCCAGAGGGGCTCGAGGGTGACCAGAGGCTTGTTGTAGACCACCAGGCCGAGGTCGGCGAGGAAGCCGAGGGCCGGGGTCACGTTCTCGGGGTCCGGCGTCGCCCCGCCCAAGTCGCAGTTGGCGATGACCCGGTCCTCCACCGACGGCACGTTGAGATCGATCAACGCCGTCGATAGCGCCACGTACGTTCTAGCCCCGCCCGCCCCACTAAGTGAGCGCACGCACGCAAAGACGCCGCGAGTGCGTGTGCGGTGGCGCGTGTGCGGTGATGAGGTGGTGCGTACTTGGGTACCGGCTGGGCGAGCCAGAAGTGATCGACAGCCACGTCGACCAGCTTGTTGCGCACGTCGTCCACTCCTTTGCCCTGGCGCGCGTTGACGAGGAAGAGCTCCCTGAGCTGAGCCGGATAGGTCTCCCTGAGCTTGTCGATCAGCAGCCCGACCTTCTTCTTGTGGGCGGCGGTCAGGTTGCGGTCGTCGGCATGCGTTGCCACGGCCAAGACGGGCACCGGGGACTCGACCCCGTTGCTGATCCGCTGATGTGAAGAGGACCCTTAGTGTGTCGTGTGTCGTGTGTCGTGTGTCGTGTGTCGTGTGTCGTGTGTCATAGTTACCTTGAGCCAATGCTCTAGCCGCGAGTGCTCCTCTTCTGGTTGCATGACGTTGAATACCACCACATAAACCGTGCGGCCGGTCAACATGAACTCCGGCCCAATATCGTCCTGGAAACGCACACGAACCACAAGATGTGCACGACACGACACGACACGACACGACACGACACGACACGACACGACACGACACGACACGACACGACACGACACGCGACACACAGCCTCTAAGAATCGCTCCAGGCTTTCTGAGAGGCCCAAAAAGAGAGACACGGCGTACCCCACCGCAATCGTAGCAGCACGCGATGGGCGTGTGATTGAACTTGTGCCGCTTGTTGGGCACCTCGGCCCAGGTGCGGGTTACACCGTGCGTGGGCGTCGGCACATAACTACCGGCACATACATTCATGCGTTGTATCGTGTCCTATCATTAGTCGTTTGCGTGTGCGTGTGCAGCGTGCGGTGTGCATGTGCGGTGTGTCGTGTGCGTGTGCGTGTGCGGTGTGTGTGTGTGTGCGTCGTTGTGGGGGTGAGGTACGCGTCGATGTTTCGGTTCTCCATTTTGGTTTTCTGGAACAGCCACTCCGAGAGGAGGGTCTTGCCCACGCCGGGAGAGCCCACGACCATCACCTTGAACCGATGTTCGATCTTCTCGCCCTTGGCCATCCTGAGCGCCCACAGATAACAGTTATAGTCTGTGTGTGTGTGTGTGTGTGTGTGTGTGTGTGTGTGTGTGTGTGTGTGTGTGTGCGTGTGTGCGTGTGTGTGTGCGTGTGTGTGCGTGCGTGTGTGTGTGATGAGAGAGTGGAGTGGTACTCTCGGAGCCAGGAGATGATTTCCTTGCCTCCGTGGAAGACGATCTCCTGCGGGATCAACACCTGGTGGTCGGCGTCCCGTTCGGCCTCCTCGGTCTGCTGCGCTACCGTCGCGTAGCGCGATTCCCGCAGCACTGCTCACAACAAATAAACAACAGAAGAACACGCGCGTGAACGAGTGTAAGACACCCCACCCCATGCCCTCCTTACATATGCACTACGACGTGCACGTGCGCGCGCATACCCTGCAGCCGCTTCAGTTTGTCCTGCTTGTTGGCTCCGAACTCGAGGCACTCCAGCCTCGGCAGCTGCGCCAATCCCAAGGGAAGTGCTGTCGCGCCAGGCAAGAGGGGGCAATTAGCCACCGACACGACACACGACACACGACACACGACACACAGTGGAGGGCACAACGTACTGACGAGGCGCTCGTTGTAGCGGAGATCGATGATCTTGAGCGCGACCATCCTTGCCACCCAGCCAGGGAGCACCTCGATCTGGTTCTCGGACAGGCGCAGCTCCTCGAGCTTAGTGAGCTGCGACATCTCCTCGGGCAGGTCCCGGATCTGGCGTGTTGTGTTGGGAAATGATCGGCATCAACGACAAGCACGCGTGCGAATGAAGAAGAAGAAGAAGGAGGAGGAGAAGAAGAAGAGAGCCCACCCTGTTGTGGTTGAGATTGAGGACGGTGAGGTGGGTGAGCTGCGACAGGAACGAGGCGGGCACTTGGCTCAGCCCTCGCCCGAGGAGGTTGACAGTCGCGGTCTTGCCGCTGATGGCCTGGGCCGATCGATGCCAGCGTAGCCAAGGGTAGAGACCGGTTAGCGAAGAAGCGAAGACGTCCACATCCGCAACTCATCGAAGCGCGGGCGCACCCACCTTGTGGAACTCTGCGGTGGAAGCCAGGACGCGCTTGATGTGCCGCCCAATCCGCTTTTCGTCCTTTTCTTCTGCCGCTCCCTGTCGCTCTGCGTGTTGTGTTGTATTTGTGTTGTGTTGTGTTGTGTTGTATTGTGTTGTGTTGTGTTGTGTTGTGTTGTAGAGTGCGTGTCATAGTGAGATGTAATCTGGCAGAGCTTCAGTTGAAGTGAGCAAGAGGGTGATGGGTGAGACCGATGGTGAGCTCGGTGATGCGCAGGTTGGTGCCGAGGGCCTGGAGCAGCTTGTCCATTCCCTTCCCGCTGAACGTGTTGTCGTGGAGCAGCACCCGCTCGATGGTGCTCCCGCTCTGCTCGATCGTCTTCGCCAGCTTGGCCGCCGCCTGTTTCGCCCGTCACTCAGCAGTGTCAGCGTCAACGCACTGGCCAAGCGCACCACAACAGTCGTGGCGCAGAGGTGGTGCACCTTATCGCCGAGCTGGTTGCACGACAGGTCGAGGTGGGTGGGGCCGGCCTTGGTGCGCCGCAGCGCCCACGCCAGCTTCACGCAGTCGTCCTCCCCGCCTGCCCCCCCCCCGCGGCCATTACCACCCACCCAGCCGTGGAGGTCCACTTTGAAAAGGGGGGAAGAACGAAAAGCGAAGAGCGAACCTTCGTGCGCCAGCTTGCCGGCGAGCTCGATCTTTTGGAGCTCGGCCTCGACTCCGGTGGCCTGACCCAGCCTCGCAATCCATCCCTTCACATCCATCTTCTCCCTTTTTTGATTAAATCAAAAATATTTAATTTTAAATCAAAGAATTATGTGTTCGGCCGGAGGTGGCCCATGTAGTGGGTGGCGGCTGTCCGCGACTCACATGCCGGCGGTGTGCTGTTGGGCGTCGGCCATGCGGCTCTTGAAGGTGATCATGGTCTCGAAGGCGTCGACCTCCTGCATGCGCTGGCTCAGCATGTCGGAGAACTCGGCCAGCTGGTCGCCGCTCTCGAGCAGCACGGCGTGGATGACCTTCTTACACTCCGAGAGCAGCGACAGACACGACTCGGGGAACGGCGCAAAGTGGCTCTCGTACAGCGCGCGCAGCCGGGCCTGGTTCATCAGCACCATGGTGTAGTTGTTGATGGCCCCGATGAGCGTCTGGTCGGGCACGTAGCGGTTGTTGTACTTGGCCTTCTTGTGGTGGATGATGTCGATGTAGTTCTGCGCCGCCGCCGTGTAGAGCAGGTCGATCCGCTTCGCCTGGCCCGCATCCCCTTCTCCCTCCAGGTTCTTGCCGCGCGCCTGCATCGCCACCGCCATCCTGCTCGCGCATCAATTTTACGCACACACGCACGCACGCACGCACGTAACACACACGCACGCACGAACACACACACACACACACAGACACACACACACACACACACACACACACACACACACACACACACACACACACACAACACACACAAGTCAGGCTATGCCACCTACAAGGGAGCTCAAGGGGGCTGCACGCACCGAGGAGGATCTTGGAGACGTGTCGCGGCGCGGCCTTGCGCACGTACTCCTTGTACTTGTCGATGGATCGCTGGAAGATGGCATCGGCCTCCTTGCCCTTCTTCCGCTCGGCCTGCTCCTCAAGCGCGTTGGCCCAGTTGCCGATGGCCAGCAGGTGCACGTCCTTCTGGTCGGCCTTGCCGTCCGTAAGGTCGCACACCTTCTTGTACGAATCGTAGGCCCTGCGCCGCATTTGTCAGTGAGTGTCGTGTGCATTGTTGTGCGTGCGTGCGTGCGTGCAGTAACTCACTTCTGAAAGTATTGGTCCTGGTCTGGCGAGGGCTTGATCATGCAGGCCATGCTGATGGAGTTGACGGCCAAGAAGTTGAGAGCCTCCACCTGCTCCGCGTCGATTCTGTGTGTGGCAAACGAGCGCTGGTGAGGCCTTGTGGTTGACAGAGAGCAAGAAGAAGAAGAAGAAGACGTACGCGAGGACCTTCTCGAAGACGACGGAGGACTGGTGGATGAAGAGGAATCGGTTGTGGAGGTTGCCCTCGGAGGACTTGCTCAGCTGCCGCAGCAGCACAGCCTCCTTCTCATAGGCGCGCATCTGCAGCTCCCTCACCTGCTTCTGGCCCTCTTCGTCGACGCTCGCGGAGGCCGAAGGAGCGAGGAAGGGCTCGAGCAGCTGTTGGGCCGAGTGGAGCATCTTCTGGGCCTGCACCGCCGACACCACCACCGGACCCTCAGCGCTGCCGCTCCCACCCAGCATGGCATTGTAGGAACTCATCAGCTCCTCGGCCTCCGCCACCGCCACACTCCATCTTTTCTCGCTCTCTTGCTTCTCCCCCTCCATCTTCTGTTTTGGTGTAAGCTCTCCATTTTCTCTCCCTTTTCCTTTTGTTTTTCCAGTCACGTTACACACGACACAGCGCAGAGGTGGTGCTCATCATCATCGTCATCATC